TTTTTTTACCATAGACACAGCTCACTAAGGACTACAAGATGCGCAAAGTCCCGACTCAAATTCTCTCTGGCACCTGGGAATGTTCCCTTGTGAGCTGAAACAACTTCGTTCGATTTTAGGAACTTGGCTGAACTATCTCTTGAGCCTTCTTCTAGAATCGGCTATCGTTTTCTTACCAGTAATTTATCGTACTCTGAACGCTGATCACAGAAGAAGAGTAACTATCGCGTCATGAATATGAGTCTCATAAAAGAGATAAGAGTTAACATCTCACATGTGTCACGGAAGCTTACATGTTCATATTGCCATCACTCTCAATCCTTTAGACTTCATAGATCAGACAACAGTATTGTAAACTATGCTTTACAAAATGTGAACATGAATCGATGTATCACATGCAAAGCAGACGAGTTTCTAATCAAGAGAAACCATTGAGTATTGTTGGAATATTTCGCTTGTAGAGATATTGACAACTCACAAGAGCTAAGAAAAAATCTTCAATGGTATCAAGTTTTTGAGAACAATTTACGATTTTGCATACGTGAAGTTAGCTAAACTTTTCTTTTAGACATGGCAAGCAGCTGCTTCACAAGTTTTTTTCTCCTTGGGTCTTAGTTTTGGTTCACTAATGGCCTATGCAGCATCGAATAAGTTTAAAAATAACTTTTTCCAGTGAGTTGATGTTCCTTGTTGTCATATACAGTGAAGTTCCTCCGAATTACTTTAGACAAATGTGCATCGTTGTTTCTTGTGATTGTCTGACGGGTGTGTTTGCCGGATTTGCCGTCTTTGCCACTATTGGATTTCTGGCAAAAGCACTTGGTGAAACAGTCGAGAAATACGCAGAATCGTCAGGTCCTGGTCTGGCATTCATTACCTATCCGGAGGCTATTTCGAACATGCCAGCTAGTCCATTCTTTGCAATTATCTTCTTTCTGATGTTACTTGCACTTGGTCTAGGCTCTCAGGTGAGTAAGCTTGTCACTCTCTTTATAGTATCCGAATTTATCGATTTCTTTAGTTTGCTTTGACTGATGTACCTATCACTTCGTTGGTGGAGTTATTTCCTCGGCTTAAAAGAAATCGTCCATATGCTGTTATTATTACTTGTGTTCTTTCATATCTCATTAGTCTCACGTTTACTTGTCGTGTAAATGAACTCATCACTCTTTGATAATTTCAATTTAATAATTTGTTTCGTGTTTAGGGTGGTATTTATTTCTTTGAACTCCTTCAAGAGTATTCAGCAAACACTTCTATGCTTGTTGTCGGCTTTTTTGAAGTGATCGTTGTATCTTACCTATACGGTACGTTGTTTCGTTTCATATCTGCAACCACTTGATCGGCATCCATTTATAATAGGATTTAACCGGTTTATGAATGATGTATACATGATGCTGCACAAACGAGCTGCTGAAAAATATCTATTTCTAACTTGGTATATTTCAGCACCACTACTCCTTCTTGTAAGTATGAACGTACTGGCATGAATGGCTATGAAACTGGCATGATTCACATTTCCTATTGTTTTTTCTGTGTTAAGATTATAACTGTAACAAAACTGATCGCTGCAGCACCGATAACACTTGGTGCGGGTGGTGGATTCTCTGCTTATACGTTTCCAAGATGGAGCACTATATTGGGCTGGTTCATTTTCGTTTTTTGCGTTATCCCTATTCCTATTGTATATGTATTTAGCTACGTAAAGGAATTTCTATTGTTGCGTAAGATGCCGTCGGTAAGTTACCGCATCTTTTCATATTACGTAGACTACTCTTAATTCAATAGGAATCACCGTCAAAGATCACAAGTAACGAAGAAAAGCCTATTTACTTACAAGCTTTCACCGAAAATAACTTGCCGACTTCGGATTGGGGTCCTAAACGAAAAGTTGATCAAACAGGTCTTTATCAACGAATGAAAGAGTCGTTTACCAATGGTGGATTGTCTTCATCTAATAATTCAATATTACCATCAACCGTTGTTGATCATTCAAATGATTAACCAATCTTATCGAACGATGAAACATATTAGGAGTACTAATTCCTATAATCTTGAATAATACATGCTTTCTATTTTTCTTCTCGACATATAACTATATCCTACTAATAGTAGAGGACTTATTGCTTTGCCAATGTTATGACATGTTCATAATGCAAATATAATTTTGAGCAATACATAGACGAAGTTGTATGACATTAATAGTTAAATTACCGAAAACTGTGGGAAAACTAAAGTTACAGCATAGTGATTGTTTAGTTTTGAGAATCGAAATGTCTGCTAATTGAACAAAACACTAATACTAAATTATGAAAAATAATTGACTAAATCAGTAATTGTAGACAAATAGAATTAAATTCTTTCCTCATCATGATGTGCTTTTTAAGGAATACTTTTGCTTACTAGCAGTCTTTAAAGAACAGTACAAGTAACTGGAAAATGACTACGATTTTAGCAGTTGTTTCTATCCAACTAATTGATCGCCTAGTGAACATACCTTATTCGATTCAGATGTCAGAATGGTATAGAACGCTCTGCAAATTGATTCAAGTTATTGAATTCGATTTCTCTAACACTAAATATTTGTGAAGTCTTCGTGTGCCCGATACCTCTACATGATTGGCCAACACAGGTTATAAATTTGTTTTCCAGTAACTGGTCACAAGAATGTGAATAAACAACAAACTAGTGCTAAGAGTGATCCGGCATCTTTTAATTTGATTTCCTTCAGTCAATCACCTGAGGCAACACAAATATATGATAAAATCATTGAAAGATGGAAAGGTATCACTGCCAGACAATTACTGCATCGGCTACCGATTGATGAGTTACTAGAAAATTCGTTGATTTGACTTTTTTGTTAGAGAAAAGCTATTGAGAAAAAAATCACGATTTCTTATGAATTTTTGTCAACGGTCTTCGGGATCGATAAATCTCATCTGTAATCGGTGTCTTGGGACTCTATATCTCTATCTTGGTCAAGCGTCCTACAGAAGCCTGCCGTTCACAGAAAAAAAGTATAAAGTTTCGACAAATACATTATAGACTCGAATTTCTTAACCCTGAAAGCCTTCGGTCAAACTTTATAGGATACTGTGATTTTCCTTCAATAGGTTTTCCCTGATGACAGAATCAAATACACAAATTCTACGTTACCCGGCTATTCGATAACAGTCCCCCTTAAACTCATTAGTCTATAGTTAGAAAATAAAGTTGAATCAAGTCACCATTTTTATCTAAACACATGTGACAGTGTCATGAGTTAAACAAACGAAGCTGAAGATGGCACTGCGTGTTTTTTTAATGCAGAGTTACATCAATAGAATATGCCTTCCTAGAAGAGAATGCAGGAAAAACAATTACATTCTGGTTATAGCCTTTTTTCCTTAACTTTTGTATCTACTACTACATTATTAACATACGATGCAATAGTATGGCACAAAATGTTGATCAGTGTTTCACTTCGATAGAAAGACGCTGAAAGAAAGCATTTTTACTGAAAGATAGCGCTTTTTCTCCTTTTTCAAACAGTGTATGATTCATATTTAACACATGTTCATAAATGAAATGACACAATAAAGAAAGAGTAATACTCACGCAATCAATTTATGCTTTCAATATGGAATCGTTGACAGTATCTTGATGGACAGTGATCGATTCGATTTTTTATACTCTTTAAAACGAGCTTCTAACGCGTGATTACTTACACTTTTTTTGAAGTTCTTAGAACCATTTTCCAGATGACAGTTAATTACAACTAATTGTCATCTACAAGATGCTTTTTTTGACGAGTTCATACAAAAATTGTTAATACATTGTGCTAATGTTTCTATTGCTTTTTTGTCTCATTTCATTTATGAACATGTATTAAATATGAATCATACACCGTTCGAAAAAGGAGAAAATTTCCCATCAATTGGTACCAAAACTTTCTTTTCAGCATGTATTTATCAAAGAGATATAAAGATCGACATTTTGCGCCACGTTTCTACAAGAAAATGCAGAATTTTTTAAGGGTGTCTCTTTTTTTATTAGACTGTTTCATTTATAGACGTAGTATAGAAATAAATGATATACTACTCGAAAGAGGAGAAAAAGCGCTATCTTTGAGTGTGGGTGTGGGTGTGGAGTGTCCATGTTATCTTCAATCGTACCCACAGCTACATCCTTTTATTTTTCTTATGTAACTTGATATTTTAATTAAAGTTTTATCTCAATAATATTAAATTTTCATTTTGAAACCCACTACAAATTCGCTGTTGGTTCTAAGAAGCACATGTTAAGATCTTATCAGTGTTATTTGTTTTTACTTACTATGAACGGAAGCAATTTTTCATTGTCTGACCATACCTGTTGTGTTGAGTTACATCATGCTGTTCATTTCATAAAGTAGAGAACCATTGAATTTGTTTTCAACACTACAGGAAATTGCAAAGTTTCCGTTTACATCACCACGTACATGAACAACTATAGTATTTGGCAAGAAAGTAACATCTTTCTTACATCCCTTTTACCAAACTAGACTCCGCACGGTTCCTTTAATTCTGACGAGATGATATCGGAAGACAATGTTTCCGCTAGGAGGTTTTATAATCAAAACAAATTTTTTCGACATCTGAAAACAAACGTATAAAGGTACTGATTGTAATAATGAATGAAGAAGTGCTAAATAAACAGAAGATGCATCAGTTATGGCAGTCGAATGACATATTTAAAGATTATAAACTGAATCTGGAATACTTTCAACCAAAGGCAAAAGCCTTTAGTGATCAATTAGATTGAAAATATTCAACACAAACTTGAATAGGTGTTGGTAATTGTATTTGTAATTATTCTAATTCTTCCATTAATAAAACATTTATTTGTTTTGTTATTGTTATTAATTGTTGCTGTTGTTTATAAACTTCGAAACTTTGGTTAAATGTCTCAAATAATTGATCAATTTCATGTAATTTTTCATTGTAAGTATCTCGAAGTTTAGTTAATGATGAGTCCAACCATGAATGAAGCTGTTATCGAGTATATGGTCGATAATCACCTCATGCAAATGATAAACACTGAATAATATTAGGAAGTCTATCAAGGTCAAACAAACTTCTGTTCGAAGTAAAGAAATAAAAAAGACAGTATTTCGTGACAATTGATTATGAATAGAAGAGAATTATCGTCTGTTAGAGAATTTAAATATTGTGTATTTTGTCATTAGTATGATGAAACTAAAGAAGATATGTGAGTTCCACTTTCCAGCCTTAAAGGGGCTGCGTTAACAAACTGTTTTGCTGACTTTTATCCTATGACAAGCTACAAAAAAAACGACATTTCAAATTGTCAAAATCGACGTTCTACAACAGTTCACCATCAAAACTCATCGGTTAACGGATGACTTTTCACGGTTAACTGCGGTAAACCGTCAGTTTTCTGCCGGTTTTTATCACATGAGTTTGTAAACTTGATTTGAGTATGTGAAGTCACAAAATAAATAATACATTGTGGTCTAATCGATGTAGTTTGCAATCTTTTACCATTGGTCACTACCCAACATTCAAGCAAAGTCGTATAATTCTTTGTCAATTATCTCAACTGAAAATATTAGTATTAAGAAACTGTATAGTGAGTAGTATTGATGAAACTATGATATTATTTCGTTATGTTAAAGCAAATACACATTTAATTTCTCTGACATTTAAAGATAGTCATTTAAAAATGAAAGATCTGAAATCATCTCTTTGATTAACATCTTTCTTTATTCATTCTAAATTAACAAGTGGTGTAAGTAAATCTGATCCTATACTTGACCAGTCTCGATGCGAAGAGTTTATTCAAACAAAATTACTTTTACTAGAAAAATTTTCAAAGTTTTCTATCGCGCTAAAACCGATAATAATCAAAATTCGATTGATATTGAATCAATGATTGTTCCATTTCGAACAATATTTTGGCTTAAATGTAAATTCTGGTTTGTCACATCGCCTATATCACTAAAACAGTGACAGTTAGAGTCTATTCGGTATCAATTTATGATTCTTGCATTACATATGAATCATGATTTAGAAAAAAAGCTTATCAGTGTGGCTCCTTTAAATGAAAAAAGTTTTTACCATATGGTGATCGATCATGCGCAAATGTCATCTTTTTTAATTTCTATATTTGAAAAAAACTTTGTTCTTCTTTTTCTTTACAGGCGCTCTATGTTTCGCTTTTGTACTTGTTGCTACTCACTCGTTATTTTGCATTTTCATAGTTTTGTTTTTTTGAATTTTTTTTGATTAATTAAAAACCATTGAATTAAATTGCAAATAAAGCTGTCATATATATCTATCATTGAATTCCGGTTGTTGAGGTCTGCAATGGTTTTCAGACCTTGAATCTTTTGTTGTTACGTGCAAATTGAAAGCTTTTACTAGATGAGATAGAAAACTTTTTGGAAGGCTAATAACGGGAAGTGCGAAAAGACTCAAATCTGAAATAATATGATCTTTAGATATCTATTTTTTTCATGAATTTTAACCTCGCGTACCTTATAAGTTCAAACTTAAATCGTAAATAATTTTCATAATCTATAGTATTTTGTAGAGCATATCGGGAGTCATTAGATGAAGGTCGCATGAATCTGATTAGTTTAACCTTTGTGCGAGAAATTATGAAAATATGAATTACATTAAAGTTAGAAGGATTTTCGGTCGAGAATCTTTGGATCTGTCAGTAAAAATGAACGCTCTTTTTAGCTGTTTAGCTAAAATCGAAAAGAAATTTAGCACCGTTCAGTGTCCAGAAAAATGTTCGATTTTTCTGAGGAACACATCTGAATAATGTTTCTACTTTAATTAATATGTCACGCATCTGTTGCTAACAGATTTATAATGTATTTTCCCCGATTTAATTAGTGTTTAAACTTTCTATGCCCATTGATATGCTCTTGATAGAATACTACATGAAGATTATCAGTTCGCTTTTTTTTACTAAGCATAAGTGAAAGTGACTTCGCATAAACAATCTGACTATCTGATCTATAGCATCTACTTCTGAAACAGTGCCTCATCTGTAGAAACATAAGAGAGCAGAAGTTTCCATTTAAAGTATATTTTATTTCAAAATAAGCTTGATCAAAGTCAACATGCATGCGAATATGGGTGTGGGATGTAAGTAGTCTCTCCGCTCATATCCATATCCGTAGTCGCATCCGCGCTCATACATTAACTCTTCTATTTCGTCAAAGATTGTTCTAGTATTTTAAAGCCGAGAAACTTCCTCGGACGATTCCATCGATAGAAGTTCAGTCTTTTTTCGAGCAAAAGTGTTAGTATAATGTTTAATAGTTGGATGATCTGGTCTTAAGGTTGCCATGCCAAGTTCAGCTGCACGCTCATAATATTCGACAGCTTGATGCATCTGATGCATTTGTTCATACCATTCGCCCATATAAAAATAAATCTGAGCAACTACTGGAGCCTTAATAAGATTGATACGATGAAAAAATTCCAAGGCAAGCATGTAAAACTCCATACTTTTATTCATTTTTCCTTGCAACATGTGAACTCGACCCATATTCTTTAGAATCGCACCATGAGTGTAATGGTTTTTATGGAGATGTTTACTAATCATGATTTTATGCATCGAAAAGCATTCTAAGGCTTCATCATAACGGTTAAGTCGAGTATATACAACCCCTAAATTGTTGATTACCAAGGATAATAATTCGTAATCTGTCGCCAATGATAACTTAAGAGACAAAAGTGTACTGAGAATATCATTATTCAATTCCAATGATTTGGCGTAGCTCTCTTCAGCAGTCACTTTCTGATCTATAGTTATCTCATAATCGCCTTTGTTCAAATATAGTAAAGCTATACTTGAATGGGCATTAGCGATTGAAATATGTTCGTTTGGCAAATATCGCAGTTTGATTCGTAGCGCTTCGTTGTAATGCTCCAAAGCTTTATCAAATTCACTTCGAGAACTATAAATTTCGGCTAGTGTGGTATGCGTAGCTGCCACTAGTGGGTGTGATAGTGGTAAAAGCTTGAGTCGAATATCTAGTACAAGTTGCTCTCGTTTAAGAGCTAAGTTACTATCACCCGTCGGGTCAGCAGTCACCATATTGTTGAGAAAAGTAGCAACTAAGCACCAATCAATGTTCTTTGGATCAGGATCAGATATACACATTTTCAATGCTTTTTCGTAGTAGTGAATTACAATCTCTTTATCAGATCCAAGTCGACGATGTGCAAAACCTAAATTATTATAAATAGGTGCCAAACTTTTCCGATCATATTGATTGTATTTCAATTGCAGTTCTAGTGCTTGTTCAAACGATTGTAGTGCTAGTGTAGGCTCGTTCTTGTAGGATTGACCCATGATGCACAAGCAATCAATAGCCAGAGGTAAATTATCAGGCATTTCACTTAAAAGTTTTTGACAAAAAGAAATCGCGCGACAATAATCGGACATGAAAAAGAGAATCTGTGCAAGATTAGCCAATGTTGTTGATTCACCTGGGTGAATTCCCAAATATTCGCTCAGTTTACGCATCTCTTCCGTTTCCTCTGTACTATCAATAAATATTAGCTTCGCTAGCCACACATGGTTTCTAGAAATGAAAATTGACCCCAATTAACATCCTAAATAAATAATAGCAATATCACTCACGACTGTTCGACAACATCTTCGATACGAAACATGGCCGCTAATGAGAAGAGAACTTCTTGTTCGTCATTAAATTGGCTATAGGCACTGATATCGGCAAATGGATGTTGATTTTTCTTAGATAGTGCATTGAGATCAACAGTAATTTGAAACAGTACAGAGTGCATATTAGGAGGAGACAATCCATCACCTGCATAGATCATAGCAACTTGATTGCTAGTGCTTGTTGACAAAAATGAATTGGTAGAGACCAATTTGCCAATGTTAGCGCGCAACTTTGCAAAGTCTTCCATTGTCATATGTTGTCCACGGTAGACAGTAAGTGTATCCATTTTGTGCAATTGAATGTTTTCTCTGAATTGAGTATGTAAAGAATCAAGTTGATTGTGCAAGTCAACAATAAAAAAACGGCATGCAAAAAGAAGATCGATGTTTTCTGTGCGAATAGCCTTGTTCAATAACCGATACGCGAACGAATCGCTCGTATACCATGCTAACGCCCGAGTTTGATTGTAATTTCGATCGAAATCATCGATACGCTTCAATTCAATCTCGTTGCCACAGTAAAATTCTTGAGCAAGTGTCAAAAGGTCACGTTTCGCCGTGTTCGATGGAGGCATTTGAAGAAGAGCAGTGACGAACAATCGAAACCAGAAGAAATCGCCTGCGTTCTGAGTCAAATCACGCAAATTTCTCTCTGCTAAACATGACATCGATATAGCATGAGTAGCATAAAAATGATTGACATCCTTAGAAAGCTGTTCATACAAAGATTCTTGATCGCAAAATGTACCACTAGATTGTATAGACAAATATTTGTCGGCATTTCGACAGAAAACATACACATGTAGTACTTGTGGTAAATCTTGAATGACTGGAATCACTTGAGAACTCAATTGACCGGATACAATTACAAAAAGATGTTCGTTGGGTACCGATTGAATATAGTCAATACAGTTATCGATATGTGTAAATACTTTAAGAAAATTGATAATACAACGTAAACGTGCTCGAGTATTAAGATCTTGAGAATACTCATCGACCCATATCACAGTAAGATCTTCGAGATTGGCTTGATCTTTGCCAGTCGAGTTTGAGCTAGTAGTCATCAAAATGATCTAAAACATCAGGTGAAACGTAATACAGAAAACATTCTTTATTTCTCCAAATCAAAATAATCAGTAACTTAACAGGAAAAAAATATGTGAATTTTTTATTAATAATTGTTTCAATACTTGAGGAATTTCAGCACGCTATTATACTCTGAACAATGAACTTGAATAGAATGTATATGGAAGAAATGTCAGTATGATTTGGGATATAATGATTTTATATTTGAAGAAAACACCACAAAACTGTTATATATTTTAGTTTCAATTCTACTTTAATTCCTTCACCACCAGTCTTTTCAATGCTTGTCTTAATATAAATCTTGCGAATTAGTGCTTATCCAATGAAATGAAGATTATTGTACACTAATATTAATTTTTAAACTCTTGTAAAACGAAAAATTTTTTCTTTATCTGCAAAAATTCACATATCTGTAAAAGATGAAAATTACCGTATTAGAATTACATACATTTAATAGTTGACAAAAAATATATGATAAAAGCTGCCTAAAGCAGCTACCATTCAAAACCATGAGCAGAATAGCGCCTAAAATATTCAAAATAAAATGAGAATAGACTAGTTTTTTTTACAGCACTTGCTATGATAATTATTCGTTATACTGTACTTCACTGTCGAAGACGGCAACTTTTGAATAGTCGTGTAGAAGATTTGATTTATATGGAACGATATTTACCGAAACAAAGTCAGGGCTCGTATTTTCTGATAATTGCTGCAAAAAAGTCACTTACTTTCCTGTACTCGATAGTTGAAGGCATGAATATTTTCGAAAATACTAGAAATGGCCAGTTCAAACTTCAGTTATTCAATTCAAATAACGTAATAATAGAGGGACTCGCTTTCTATAGTCATACTTGCAAAAAATAAATAAATAAACAAAATCTTATGCTATACTTTGCTACCGAAGGCAACTTTACTCAGATCTTTGATACACTGCAATTGTAAACTCAGCTTGAAATAAAAGCATGTTTATCTATATTTCAATTAAACTATGAAGTACATGTAACATGTGTAATGTTGGAAGCAAAATGAAGGCAAGAAAACTTGACAAACTATTGAAATCTAGTTTGAATACGGAAAAATTTTGAATAAATTGATAGAATTCTACGTGAAAATAAACCTTACAGAATAGTGATCTTCTTTCAACATTTTCGAAGGCACAAGTATTGGAATCCGACAGTAATACAAAACTGCAGCCTGATTTCAAGAATTACTTTTAAACGGATGATGATCCATGGAGTGATGAGTAAATGAGGAATATTACGAGTGAAGCATGCATAAGAAGTAAAACAAGTGCATCGTTGAATTTGTTTGTGCATATTATTTGTCTTCTAGTTCATGCCCATGACTGATTATTATGAGTACTCTTCTAAACTTTGTTAAATAAGTTTAAGTCTTCCTAATTCACTCAGAAAATTTATTTTGTGCCCAGGCTGGTACTTATCGAGCCTTATACATGGCTGAGTAGCCCGATGTTTCTACTTTCGAATACATTATTGCTCACTACTTTTGAAATGATATTTTGAGAATCACATAGGGTTTTTTCTTAGAGCTCAGAATCCAAAAGCATTTTTGAAAGGTTCAATTGACAAAGTCTTTTTAAGCTCCATTACAGATCCATACCATGAAAAAGATGATCAACATACAACAACAAATATGCGCCACTGTTTGAATATGAATGTGACTCACATCATAACTCATTAGAATTCTCCAGAACTAGTAATTTTTTTTTGAGTTGATCGGTAATAAAAACCTTACAATACAACGCATGTTGGGTAGGATAACAAACTTTCTATATCAAGGTGTTATCATTAATGATTCCTAACAAGACTAAGTTTTTTCAACAAAACAAATATTTATTTGTAGAGTTTTTGGTTTAAAATATCTTTTAAAAGGTTTATGAGAATAAAACTAATAATAAAGATATTTACCAAGGCACAAAAAATGTATATTTAGCAGTTGCAGCTTATAGAAACTTGTTGCAGTGTGGTGGAGTCCTCTATTCTTAGAATTTCATTGTGCTGTTTGATGATAACGCACTTAACATCAAGTGCAATGTTGTTTTCTTTGTAAAAATTATACTTTGAGTGATACTTGTTTATTTTTGTACATTTTCAACTTTCAATAGGTTTTTGTGAAGTCTATTTAGTGAATTCATATGAAAATCTTTATACTTCCACTCACGACTATTAAAAGCAACGCTTTTTATATGGATTCAAAGTCAAACGTCGCCAATACCATAAAAATAAGTGAAAAATAAGTATTACGTAACTATATACATGTCATCCGGATAATATCCCATAATTCTTCAGTCTAAGACCAAGTAAATCTTATTCAATGAAGTCCAACTTTGATAATTTTACCTCTTATATATAACAGCTTTTCGAGTAACACATTTTTAACGAAGTCATTCACCTCTATTAAAAAACAACGCTATACTTCGACTTGTGTCGTTGCTTATGTATTCATACCTTAATTGGTAAAAACATGATTCGATCATGTTTTCTTCCTTTTTCTTTCACTAATACGACGAAATATACATGACGCATATTGATCTATTCACATGCATGTATCGCACAGTGCTTTTCTTCTCTCCACATTAATCGAGAGTCAAAAATTGCTTGTATATTTTTTCTTTGTCAATACCAAGAATTTACACATCTTGAATCTTTTCCTTAGAAAATGTTCATTGATAAATTTCGTAACGACTATTGAAGAATAAAAGATTCCATAAATTGTTTTACGAACTTTAACGGATGATAAATAGAAGCTTTCATCACGATCCAAGACAAGCAAAAGGGAATCATTTCCTAAGCCTACTAAAAGTCTGTGATCGAGTCTAATATAATTAAATTAACAGAGAAAATAAAAGCATTCTCTGGTGAAGGCTTGCAAAGCGGTTCGAAACTCGTTAAATCTTCTGAATATCCAGGAGTTCAAGTTGCCAAAATTAATGATGCTAGAGTCCAAAAGTCAATATGCTAATATTGACTTGTCTCTCATGCTTATTAGGAATATCGATAGTATGATGGAACGGCTGTGTGAAAGTAAGGTATTTGTTTTCAAACGAGATTACCATACCTACATTCCCCATCCTCATACATAATACGCATATCCGTACTCTATTATCAACTGTTCAAATATTCTATAAAATTGCAATGAATTTGTCTTTCGCATATTTTGCATTAAAAAAATTTTAGATGATCGTGAAAACAAACTATTGATTTCTTCAAATTTCTGTTCAATTCTGGACTAAATTCATTGAAACTATTATTTTATCAGATTAAACTAAATCTTACTCATCGTTTACTAACTCCTTGTAGACAAGTTTTTCTTTACCACATTTATACTAATAAACAATAAAAATTAGTACAATATAGAAAATAAACCTTGATGACAACCAATAACATATTAATTTTCAATATTATAGGTTGTCAAAGAATCAACTGTTGCTGTATCCATTTGTTAAAATATGTCTTACAAGCTTGTCTAATAGACTATGTGCAAAAGTTTATCTAACAAAATAATATGCCGAGTACGTTTTGGAAGAGAAAAATAATTGAACAACATAGGAAGGTAACACAACAGAAAATATGACGAGAGTAACAGTGACAAATAAGCTGGCCAGTCAACGTTAAAAGTCTAGGATAACATATTCGAGTGAATTTTTCATTATTTCATTGTAAACTTCAAGAAGTTTCAGCTTTCTATTTTGAATTGCATTATCTGTATACTTAATTTATATACGTATTTTAGCTATAGATTAAGACTCGCATTGCAAACAGCTATCTTTTTTAAATTCAAGCTCTTTTTAAACAAGAAAATATCCTACAATAACAAGCAACATATTTCTACTAATCACATATTTGTATCAACTTTATCAGTTTGATATGGAGACATTGCTGAGTTTGTATTTTGATTAAATAGTAATTTACGAGAATATTTATAATGATATTAAAAACTTTATAAGCTAAAACAAATAGACTGACATGCAAAACTTTTCATTCATATTATTCTTTTAATTTTTAACAGTTACTACAAGCATAATTCTGTTTGACATACTAGAGTTGCTTTATGATATTTCTCATCTAACGAGGGAACCTCTTGAGGTAATAAAAAGCTTTTCGATCAAGAATGTGATGGTTAGATAGGGCATAACTAAGAGTGAGATACTTTCATTTGCTGTCGATTTGAAGGAAGTTGAAAAAAAGGAATTAAATACAAGTCATTTTTTAAACTTTTTATTTACTTATATCAAAACCTGCACAATCTGAAAAAGATTCTTATTATTGTTTTCATCGTCATATCACGAAACTAACATAATTGATGACAACTCTACTATTACAAGTTCGTTCAACATCTAAAAAATATTTAGACTAGATAAATTAATACTTGTTTTAATACATTCTGTATATTGTATGTTAAATATCGAATGAAATAATAGAACATTGAAAAAAAAGTTATGAGAAATATTTTTCAATGATCCTGTATACTATTTCTATATATCAATTTTGTTTTGAATAAGTTTGTATTTTTTAGCAATTCATCATAAGAAATATTTGTGTTCTATGCTGAAAATTCCAAAAAGAATTTCTATTCTTTGTAAAGAAGATAAATTTTTCCGAATTAGATTTTCGTTCTAATCGTATGTCAAAGTTCGTAAATTCCGATCAGTATGTTGTTTTTAGAACGAGTGAAGTTGAACACATGTCGCATAATGAATAGTTTGTCGTTATTTGTTGATAGCTCGTTTATTGCAAAATCTGTTGACTTTGGTGTATATTTTGAAAATTCGAATCAACGTTTCAAAGTATAGTCATGAGAATCTGTTACATGTGTGGTTAATCAAATTTTCTCAGTGAATAAATCATAGTGTAGTTCTGCTAGTGATAATAATCATACTGTCATTGACGATAATGGCGTTACATGGAATAATGAAGATAACAATTTTCGGAGAATGTTTTTCGAAGAAATTTCGCGATTGACTCATCAGTGCTCACGAAATCATTCAATAATAAAAATGCAATAGTCAGTATTGTGTTGATGATGTAGAAGTAGGTCGCTTTTTTCTAAAATATTATCATCAAAAAAGAACCTTTTAAGCATCAGGTGACGAATATCACACAGAATGGTTGCGGAATATTCGATAAGTAATGATTTAGCAGGTTCTTTTTCATATAAATTTTATTGAAAAGTGCGTGCTACTTTCATATAGTGTAAGCAATGATGACAGTGGCAATTCTATTATTGAGTTTATTATTAAGTGATTTAACAACCAGTCAAATTCCAAACCCCACTCAATATCGATTCACGTTGACAACAGATGGTGTTGTTCAAGAACGCTATGCTATAGATAAACAAGCAGGTAAAATGTCCCGCTTATGGTTCTCGAATATTGGCGATGAGGAGTTTGGTGGTAATCAAGACATATATGTACGTGATGATGGTCGCACGTATTTTTTTGATTTCATGTCGCAACCACGGCAATGCATTGCGAATAGAGGTGGTCCATACAATGAAATGAATTATTGGCCAAATCTTGTGCAGGCATTTGGTGGTGAACAAAAACAATATGATGAACTAATATTTGATGCTGATTGCGATGGAACTTGTCTAACATGGAAAACTGAATATAATGAAACATATGATCACCATCGTTACGTGAATCGATTGTATGTCAAGAAATCAGAACAAAAACCAATCAAAATGGTTTTGAAAGCGTATGATTTGGATACAGGAAACTTGGTGTCAACATCCATTACAAAATTTACTAATTGGATGACAGGCAAAATACCGGATTATGAATATGATTATCCCATGGACTTGGAAAAATGTTACAAACCATAAGTTGTCTTCTTTTTACCATATTCACAAGCTATAGAGTGTACTGATACGAATCAATGAGCATTCAAAAGAAAAAAAAGCGAATTTTTCTGAATTACAGTTCATATCTTTTCAATTAAAGATACGTTTAATCACTCCCAAATTAATTGTGATTACAGTTAACGAAAGTAAATTTTTATTTACTCAAATACACGGAAGAATGTCAGAAAAGTATTAATGTAAATACGAGAAGGAGTGATTTCAAATGTTGGCAATCGTGTATCTCATGTAATACTCTTATTCTCTATATTGTAGAATGATCTCGACTAGAGTAACACATAGTCTTGAACTGATAGGGCTGATCGAATATAAAAAGAAATCCATATCGGTTGATAAAGAAGAAAATTTCGCTTGGTGGCGAAAAATAGAAAACCTATTATACTTATACTTCTCTGATCTCTTCTTTTGTACCTGCCTTTATTTTCCGATATAGATTTTAGAAGTTTGACATACGACGATCATATACAGCAGTTGAATAATTTCGTGTACATAGTACGATTGTATACTTTATTATAACTCCATACTCCGTAAACAGTCAAACGATATCATTTATTAAAACAATCTAATTAGCGCTTAAATCATTTATTAATAACAATCATCCTACTTTTCGATTAATGATAAAAATTCCTAGATCATAACATTGACTGAAATTTAAATATTAACATTTAATGTTAGCGAGCGAAAGAAAACGAAAACTTCTCAAAAAAACCAATACTCGTCACTGTAGGTTCACTAATGTATAAAATCATGACAATCGATTGACCATTCTAATATTCGATGTAGAAGTCTAGGGAAAAATGTCAAGTTATGAAGCTCAGCCGTTTTAGAAAACAGAAAACTGTTATTTATTACAAAGTGCAGGACAAATAGTACAAAACATTATTTAATAAACAGAGTATAATTTTTTATTACGAAATATCTTGAAACTTCTTCCGAACACTGAGGATCATATCTTGCAAGAAATCTTTTACTTCTCAAGTATCCACATAGATTTACTTTTTTGTTGATGAGAAGCACATACAATATCAGTCGAATGATTATCGAGTAGCTGTGATAGATTATCGATATAAGAAGTAAATGATACGTTTCTTTTTTCATTCATACATTGTTGCACTGCATTTGACTAACATGCCTTTGTTAAATCGACTCATAGCAAATAATTTTGATCCCAATGATATTTATCAATAAAGGACAGCAGTCTTTTATTAATACATTTTTCTAAACGTGTTTCGTTATAAACAGCTTGCTTAATACATCAGCGTAAGAATGAAGAGATGAAATAATATTGATAGAAATGCCGGCGTGTATCTAATATTTTTTTTTATTAAATGACAACAGAGAGTGCTCTGAGAACTGTCATGAAGAAGAAATAGTTACCAGCTAGTCGAAACTGAATAAATTGTACTTTCTTGCAGCATATGCGTCTCTTAGAACATTAATCCTGCCATCATTCCTTTCACTATGCGTTTGCAGATATACACCAGCAAAGTACATTATGACCAATTAAAGATAATGGTAACCAGTAGTTAGTTAAGATTTCAAATCAGCAATCGTTTAATCAAGTGTTTTTGCAAATTCAACATTTCTTATGCAACTGAATATCTGTTTCTTACAAATGTATGTGGGACATTGTGTGCAGCGATGGATCTCTCTACTATAGTTAAATACATGACACTTTTTTTTAATTTTATTTAGATTATCTGCATCATATCTGTGCAAGAAAATAAGATATAGATTACAAAAAGAATTGAAATTTTTATCTATTGTAATGTACATTATACATGTTCAAAGAAATAGCACAATGCAAGCTTTCCGCTCAACAAAGCTCGAAGTCATTTTTAAACTATATTCCTGTGCTGAAAAGGATGGTTATATACACATTCTTCAGCATTAATTGGCTAATCAAAGTAGAAATATGACTAGCATTTATGTTATATTGACTTAACTGTGAATGAATTTTCGATTTTCCTTAAGTTAATTAACATCTGACCTATTTCGCTATTATGGCAATAATCATTCCGATAGCAAATTTTAGATGATATATATGAGGATGTGGATGTAGTTCCCAAGCAAACTTTAAAAAACAAACAATGGCTGCGACGAACGCTCAAAAATTTAAAAGATATATTTTTGTTCTTTATGTTTCAATTTCGAGCCCCTCGGTGGCCATTAGATTCCGACACCCGTACACTTTATCCTAATGGACATTCATTTTCGAGTCCTCAAGCCCTTTTAGATCCCTCGATACTCATCGAAGTTTCGAGTACTCGAAAAATGAGACACATCGGAAGCAAATTATAAAGTGCTCAAATAGAAGCAAGCCTAGCAAAAACTCCGTTTCACGTAGTAAGGTTACTTTTGATTTCGTGAAACTTCTTCAAAAAGTGATTTACAAGTGTCTCTTTTATTCCGCTATCTAAGTAGGATGATTTATATCCGCCGTATATTTTCCTTAATTTCATAATTTTCTAAAAAACATTTAAGATTAAGTTCTGAAAAATAACAAGTAAGACTGGAATCCATAGACGTTTTTGACGAAAAACACAGCCCTAACGAATTTAGCGTTTTGAATGTTTGAAAAATTTTTTAAATATTGATTTCATACTTTATCACACAAATCAAATATTTATTAAATGTCATATTTATCAAATAAGCTCCCCATATGACACATGAGACTAAAAAAAGCCTTGTCTGTCGCTGGAGACACGCCAAAGGTATTCTTATTCGATTAAAAGTTTTCTTTTTTTTAATTTTCGACAGTTGTTAGCATTTGTTAAAATAACAATCGTAAAAGTATTATCCTTTTAAGAATTGGAAAGATAAATTTCATAGACCAACTTAGTTTAGATGTTCGACGACGAATAATCGTAAGTACCTATGTGCGAATTTCCTCCTCTGCGTTTATCGGATAGGTTTGCCTACTCGAGAGTGAGACATCTACAGAAAGAGATCTTTTCTTTGATCAAATGTTGATCCTTTAGTTAAAGCCGTTCGACCGCTGGGAAACTCCACATTTTAGTGATCTACCATCGATCCCTCGACCTATCGGGAAGTGAGAATCCAAGGAGTCCATTTCAAATTCTGATGTCTATGGCAATCCTAAATTGACATGTCGAAATGTCTATTGGATGACCCACTGGTTGGGTATGAATATTGCTTTCATCCACACTCATACTCTAATTGATATAGTACAAGCGTTACGTGCAAAGAACCATGCAAAAATTAATGACAGCAATATTTCAAATCTTTTAGCAGGCTATAATCTTTGAATATCTGATATGCTTTGTCGTGGACCAGTAAATGCATTTTAAAAGAAAACACTCGTATATTAGAGGATAGGTTTATATACCGTGCATGTAACAGGTGAATTGTTAATAACGAAGAATATTCTTGTAATTGTGATACATCACTATGAGGATCTTCAAACTTTAGCTCCACCCTATTTTCTAGTGCAACGTGATATGCTAAACTCAACTGTGAGATTGCTTATGGCTTCCCTTTAGAATTTGTTCTTCAAACGAGTCTTTTAAATGGGCCTGGAAAAAAAACAAAAGATCATTTTGGTAGTATTAAACCTTTTTATATATTCTAATGTGCTGAAATGGTATCAAGACCAATATTTTTATACACAACACGAATATGGTTTCCATTCTGGATTCTGTTTTGCTTAATCTTGAAAAACAAGAACAATCCCACCTTCGATGTATCAGAGTTTGTGAGTTTGAAAGTGCTCTATCACAAAAGATTCCTACCTTGATTGATTTGAGAGAGTTATTTAAAGTGAAACATGTTCAGCGAGACCTAGCATCATGAGTGAAATCAAAATGTCGCGTTATTGCTAATTATTGATTGAAAATGCATAATACTTCGAAACTAGACGAATAATTTTTTTGCTATAAAAGTTTTGCATAACTACACCATCTTGTTTGGAAAATAGAAATAAAAAAGAAAGCATTGTGGAACATAATGGTAACTATATAAACTAGATAAGAGGTACTACATAATGATATATAATAGGACTTTCTAATCTGTTCGAGGCAGACAGAGCACAACCATAGGATGATCTTACACAAGCAAACGAACAAAATTTCAATCTTCTGTATATTGAAATAGAGATCATAAGTGTGAGTGCTAGAATGGATGATGTTGTAAGTGTCATTTAAGAGAGATCTTGCAACCTGACTCGCATCACATACACTCCATACCCTATACCTACCTATATAATCAACGGTGTACACTGACCAAATGTTGTGGCAGACAGCGAGATAAATGATTATCAGCATTTCAATGTACGATTTCAATGCAGAACCAAGAAGTCAAAACATGCAGCTTGTCAAAATCTTAAAAAAAGCTATTAGTACGATCTGCACAAGACTAAAATACGAAACATGCCGTAGCTGTTGTTACTAATCACGCGAGTATTATTTTATTCGACTTATCTTTGGTCCGTTTCTTATCATCTTTTACTTGATCCGTTAGAACTGCAATAATAAAGCAGTTACTATATTTCCATAAGATGTTAGTGATATATGATCTGTAACAGTGTATCCAAAACGCATGTCACAGTCTCTGAAGGCCATCAGCCATGGCATATGATGGTCTCTGAAACGTGTCGGTAGCGGTCTTGTGGGCGAGAGCAAGGTGGATTCAAATCTATGCCTCTATGCACTTCAACACTTCTTTTATATTGTGTTTCACAAAAGTCAAAGTTAAACTCTCTACTGATCTAACGCTCGACTTTGATGGCACTAAGACACCTCGGAAGGTATAAGTGCAACACTATCGTCAGTATTTTATTGGATAAAAGTTGATGTTACAATTCAGTATGTAATAATTTCTAACAACGTTCATCAATTGAATATTCGTTCTTTTGTCTATATTTTCATCATAAGCGGACTTGCTAACTGAAGATAGACGAACCGAAAAGAAATACACAGACAGGAAGATGTTCTTGTGCGCATTGTTATGCGTATTATGCGTGAGTTTTTGGCTCTTTTTACCTCATCCAGAAACAGCTATCTACATCCCAGCTCTGCTCACACACATTGACAATCGCAAACCACACTCACACACTTATATCTGAATCCACACTTCCACATCGACATCCACACCCACACCCATGCCCACACCTGAATTATGAAAAGTATTGAATACTATCCCTTCTCATATCTTACTCATAAAAAATATTCAACAACTGAATTTTGCTAGCACTAGAAAAACATTTTCGATAATTTCATTTTATAATGAATCGAAAAACAGCCGTGAAAGTGCCATATGGGTATTTTCTGGGAAAAAACCAAATTTATTTTTCATAAGAGGCTTTCTTCCTTCTGTATGTGTTTATGATAAAGTGAGTAACCACATTGCTGCCTCTAATATAAATGGCAAACAGGTGTCTTTTTCCTTTCTTTTATAAACTACCCTAGTGAAGATTGGACGCAGAAAGAGAAAAAAAGAAGGTTGTGATTGTGTGGAAGAAAGCAGTCATTCATTCATTTTTATTTCAGTTAACGACAACGGCGTGCTTGGTAAAAAGAGAACATACAAAGGTGAGTTTTATAACAGTGAAAATAGGTCCGATCTTAGTCGCTTCAAGGATTTATTACTCTTTTCAATCTTTTCAATAGGTCTACCCAATTCATTTGTCATCTGAAAAAATAATCCACTACTTAGCAGATAAATTTTTAAAAACATTCAATCTAGGTGTGTATGTGATTGCGTATGTTAGTACGAGTATTCTCTTAATAGACACCCAACCTCCAGAAAATCTTGCAGATACATACCGACATTATATGCGATTCAAGAGTTTCTGAACCGAACAGTTTATAACAATAAGAATATATGAAAACCAGAAGAGCACATGACATAAATTTGAGAACCTGTATTCAACGTTTTCATCGAAAGGGTTTATTACCCTTTGCATAAGGGTATCTCATTTCAAATTGCTATCAAAAGGATTTATTCTTCTTCTTATAAGGTTAGGTTGCTCTACGATGTTAAGAAACGAGATTATTATTCTACGTACAAAAGTAAATTATTCTATGATTTCAACAATAGAGAAGGTTACTGTACGACTTTAGCCAAACGGTTTAGGATATTGAGTGTCGATGAAGAGAAGACACTATAGCACACACCAAGATCCACATCCACCCCTCTCCAAAACTTTTGGGATAAATTGATAAACCATCCGAAATTCTTCCGAGTGAGAAAACACTGGCAAATCGTGTCAGCGCAAAAATGCGTATCCAACCGCCTACTAGAAGTTATGTAGCAGTGCGAAGGAGCATGAATATGAGTGGAAGCATCTGTGCAATCATGCGCTCTAGACGCACCATCAATCTCACATTCTTACACGAGAACATTCCCACCCACACCCAGTGAATAAACAAAAGTAAGCAATAATTACGAATACGATTGCTGTTTCTTGAGCTTTCGATACTCAGTATATGATTCTACATGTTGACACACGCCAACTATATCTCTAGAATAAATCTTTATTGTCAGAGAGATTTTTCATTAGGAGAATGGTATAGACCAGTTTTCGAGCACACACACTATTCGATAACTACCGACAAAAGCTACAAAACCAATTATTTTCTAAACTAAAACCTGTTAGCTGTTAGAAAAATATCCAAGTATACTGTTGTTAAAACTTACTATCTTGCGTGTGAGACTGGTATTTAACAAATTTCGATTTGAGTCAATATTGATAACATTTTTGGAGTAAGCGACAAACATTGACTCGATTTATGCATGTTTCATATAATTTAATGAATTTATACGTTCATCGAATAATTCATTTGGGATCCTTACACAGTTTTAATAATAATGTCACTTGAAAAGGGGGAATGAAATTCTGCTTCGCACGATACATGTAGAATGTAAATATAAAGCTGAGTCAGAGACATACCGGACAATCAAAAAATTGTCCCAGCCAGTCCAATTTTCTTTGCTCTCTGCTGCTGTCCTATCCTGAACAGTTCTCGATAGTGATTTCGCGACCCGCACTGCATTGATATAGATTGTCTCGTTTCGTTCTGGTCTCCTAAAGTTTCGAAAAACACTAATTGCCAGTGTCTAAAGCAAGTCATTATTTGTTATTAAATTCAAAAATTGGCGTGATATCGAAAGCCCATTGCGTAACGTTCAGTTCTGCTTAATTTTTTAAATAACCTGTCCTACTCTATCTCGATGGTCGCTGAATTAATTGGATTGAAAGAAATAGGCGCATATCTTTTTAATTGTAGAATAATTCAGAATGCAAAAGTATATGTTTTGAATAACTGAACATTTTTCGAAAACTTTTTGTGTTTATGAAATCCAATGGAACAGGATAGAATACGAAGATCGACTTACCGCTTCTGTACTGCAGAATATGTCTGCATCTCGAAAATCCTTGAGCTAGATATAGTAAGTATTTAATTACGTACTATTCGAACAATCTAAGATAGTCCAAATATTATGCAATTACATATAAATCTTCTTCCAATCCTGGTGTTACCTCCATTCATAGCCACTTCTGCATAAGACAGCAGTTGAATAAATTATAAATAGGTCATTTTGATTGAATTTATTTTCGATTAAATCCTAACAGAACCATAGATATATTTTTCAATGAAAATAAAAGCTCGTGCAATTATATGAAGCATCTATACATGAATCAAGTGTTTGATCTTAATTTCAAAAAGTTTTATTCATTTTGACTTCAATAAAAGTTCGTTTCTATAAAATCTGTTACATACGACTAGTAAATGCTAGACAGCATGTCTTCATAGCAGTGTACTTCACTATTTCTCGGATCATAAATGTTTTTTAGTTTAGAAAATAAATTTTTTGTAGTTGTTGACTCTGGTTAACGAATGAAATATGATAGAACGTTAGTCTATTTTAATTAAGAAAAAGAATTCCAATGGGTCAACACGTGGACTTATGTACACCTGTCTTTTGATATCTCTTCGAAAATCATTATCAAACATTCAAACATATACATACTTTACAAAAACTATTCTCGTAGGCTACGTAGTTTATGTCGAAAACCTATTTTCCATCAATGCAATTTTCTCTCGTCTTCATAATCAATTTTTAAGCTCGACCTTAGATGAAAAGAATATTGAAAATTGTACATATTATTATACATTGAAAACAATAGTTAACTTATTGCATAGTTGTTATTTATATTTCTATTTTTTTGATCTGCATAGCTCATCACAAATGGCTAAGCCGATTGAATTAAATGATGATGAATATTTCATTGTTCAACTACCTGAATATAAGAATATTAATGAAGAACGGATGAAGGCTGCTCAACATTGTGCAGAACAGAATAGACCACTGCAAAGCAAAAAGAAAGAACTTTTGGTGGAAAAAGCCGATCTAATCAAAGAATTCGATTCAGTTTTGAACGAAAATGAGGAACAATTAAAGGAGCTTGAAGAGCAAGCGAATCATATTACAAATTTTGAAAATGCCACGATAGAACTGTACAAACAAAGAATAGAACTCGACAGACAAATTAACAAAGGACAATCAGAACTCATTGGCTTTGAAAATCAAATATCGGATTATAAAAACGATCTAGAAGGACTTAACGAAAAGAAAATTCAATACGAAATAGAAGAAGAACAATTGAAGCAACGATTGTACGATCTCAGGGAACGAGAAAATGCAGCAGTCAGCGGACAAAATTATTTGCAAATGTCATCAACAGAATTAGAAAGTCATTTAGAACAAGTACGTCGTGAATTACAGATCAAAGAAGAGCAATTGAGAGAACTTGAAACCACACGTAATGAATTGGAAAAACAAATGGCTGCTCTTCATAAAGAAATCGCAAGAATCACTGAACATATTAAAGAGATTGCAAAACAAATTGAAGTGTTTAATGAACAACATCGTGAACTGATGATGAAACAGAAAGATTTAGAAAAACAACAAGAACAACTTCAATCAACTATTGCAAAATTAGAGAAAATCGTGAAAGAGAAAGAAGCTGGCATTTTTCGACTGGAAGCTCAAATTGAAGGTCAGCAAAACACTATTGATCAGTTAGAAGAGCAAGATAATGTACTTCGTCAAGACATTCAAAAACTTACTGAAGAAATAAGAACCTCAGAAATAAACTTAACTCTAGCGGAACGAACTTTACAAGAACTCGATCGTGAACGTAAAGTATTAGAAGAAAACAAGCGTCAACTTCAAAAAGAGCTTCAAACGATGGAAGACGAATTGGCCGATAGTAATAATTCGTTAAATGTTAATAAAGAAAAATTGCGTAATACAGAAGCATTACTTAAGGAAGCTCAAAATAAAATGAATGATCTTCAAGCCAAGGAAGATCAGAAAAAAGAGGAAATTGAGCAACTTCAAACCAGTTCCGATAATTTAGAACAACAAATAAACGATCTAAACAACGAATGTACGACTTTAAATAATCTTAAAGCCGACGCACAACAAGATTATGAAAGAGCTGAAGCTGAATACAAAGAAGCTCAACAATTATTAAATCAATTGAAACAACAGGAACGCGAAGAAAATCTGAAACATGAACAAGCACTGCGTGAAGAAAGACTCATTACGGCGCAATTGAATACGGCGATGAATGAGCAACGAATGGCCGAAGAAGAAGTACGTGCAGCTGAAGCTAGAGTCCAATCGGAATCTATAATGGATATGGTTGGAACTGTTATCAGTTTGATACCAGAATTATCTGTACTGGGCGGAAGCCTAAAAGGCAATTTAGCCGATGCTAAAAGTGCACTCAGTGAAGCAAAGGCAAATCTTGAAACTAAACGGTCGACATGTAACGAGCTTCGTAGCAAGTTAGATGAAGCCAATATGAAAAGGAGTGAATGTTATTCATTATTAGAAGCAAAGAAAAATGAACGTACAGAACAAGAAGCCCTAGTGAATAGAAGTAAGGCTAATGTCGACAGTAAAAAACAAACATTCGAACAACTCAAAACTACACACCGTGAAACTGTTCGTAAACTTTCACAAGCCGAGTCCAATCACAAAACAGTTTGCAATAAACTACAGCGTGCTCGAACACAATTGAGTACAACTACCAACGATCTTCAACGACATAAACAGGATGTTGAGAATTATACTCATCAACGACACGAACTTGACTCTAATATCAAAATTTTAGAACGCAAAATCAAACAACAGAATGGTTCTATTGCAGACCATAAAGAAATAATGAAAGAAAATGAAGATGCTTTGATCAAAGCAAAGAATCAACATCGAAAACAAACTGGAATTGTGGAACAACTCAAGCATACAATAGAATATTCAAAAAGCGTTCTAAGCGAGAAAACAAATTTGGAAAAAGAAAAACTTCGCGAAATCAATCATCAGAAGACATTGCAAGCAGCAAATGAGAAAAAGGTAGAAATTTTACGTGCAGAAATACAGGTTAAAGAGAATGAATTGACCGACGTCAAAACGAAACTTGATGCGACGAAAGACGAAGTTCAAAAAGTAGTTAAACGTACAGATGAATTAAAGACCGAAAAACATTCATTCGAAGATCAGAATAAAGCAAATCAACAAAGCCTCAAACAATGCGAACAATCCCATCGTGAAGTATGTACAAGAATGCAAAATCAAAAGGCTCACATCGAAAATCTTCGTGGAATGTTGACGACATTGGACGATCAAAAACACCGACTATATGTAGAAATAAGAGTTTGTGACGAACGATTAGAAGGTAAAAGATTAGAACGTGAAAGGAATCAAGAAGAAATCTATGAAGTGAGTGAACATCTACAACTGAATAAAGAGGAAATGAAGAAAGTACAAGAAACTGTTGAAATAGCGATTGACAAACGAACTTCCATTGAGCGCAGTATAAATACAAATCGATCGTTGATTATTGAACATGAAGAACGTTTTCAAGATTTGAGCAATACATTAAGAAATTCGGCAGGAAAATTCACCAATAATCAAGAACAAACGTTAAAAATTAATGAACGAATAGAAAAATTGCAGGCAAACATTACTGGTCTCAAGGAACATCATTGGCAAATACAAAAACAATTAAACAAAGAACAGTTTAATATCATTGATAGGGCAGCAATTCATCGTGGATTGAAAACGAAAGTTATTGATGAGAATAAAAATGAAGAAATACTACGAAACCGTCTCCGACAACAGCAATAAAAACAACAACGACACAACATTAATCGTCTAATTAATACAGTTGCGGTTGAAGACATTCAAAATTTGAGCATACTTATGTAGAGTTCATTGAAATTTACTTCATTGTAAATGATCTAAAGGGATGAAAAACATTTAAGAATAGTAAATTTTTTATTTTACCCAGAGTATCGAGCATCTGAATCAAATCCAAATCATAGTTTTAATAGCCCAAGAGTTATTTAAATTACTATTTTGATTTGATCTAATGTCCGTTTCAAAATATAATGCGTCCCACTGTTTTTTGAATAACTCAAGAACGCAATCAGCTAGAGACCTGCGATTTTCATCAATCGAAAGAAGAGACAGGAGGGCGTCTTTTTCTCCAATATCGTATCAGACGGAATCATTTTGAAACCAGTCATTTCTGCATAACATCGAAAAAATGGTCTGTCATTCATATGAAATTTTGACAAAAAGTAAAAAAATTTGCTTCAAAATTAAAAGAAATTCATAGTTTTCTTGCGAGTAAATAGACGATTTTATTTGCTAAACGTTAGGATGCGGTAAGATAATCATTCGAATTATATCCTGAAGTATAGATCCGAAGTCCCTCTATCTAGATCACATGTCAAAAGGAAAATGTCTTCAGAATGCCGGGTCGTTTTCATGCACTTTTTGCAATATTTTGCAGAAATGACTGATTCTAAAATGATTTTGTCTGATACAATATTGGAGAAAAAGACGTTCCCCTATCTCTTCTTTCGATTGGTGAAAACCGCAGATCTCTAGCTGATTGCGTTCTTGAGCTATTCAAAAGACAGTGGGACGCATTATATTTTGAAACGGACATTAGATACCTTATATTATAGAAAAAAATTAAAAATTCGTTGTTCTCGTACGTTTTTTTATCATTTTACTTGCGTATGTAATAATGTTTTTGATTTTAAAAAACTTCTACATTTGTATTGTAAATTTCAAAATAAAAACAGCAATTTTGCACAGTATCTTTGTTTATGTGTGATGAAAAAAGTTTATAGTGTTACTGAAGAAAAATCCGAGCAGGCCTTTCTTCATATCTAATTCATTATAGCTGGTTGATTTACACGGTAAAACATGGCTGTAAGAGATCCGTCGTACTTTTCAATAGCCAAATATGCTTTTATTGGATTCTCTGTGGGATGTTGTACATAGAAAGCGTTATCTTTATCAATGGTGAATATCTGATTGACCTTTATCTTTAGAAATCAACGTCCGATAGTCAAAAGATTTTAATTTGAGTTCAATTCTAAAAATATTTTGCCATCTGTTTCAAGCTAATGTCGATCGTAAAAGATATTAGTCGTGAAATCTTAAAGTGAGTAAGAGAGAAGACCAAACGACCAATGTGTCTTAAAACCAAGCATTTTTCATACTAATCCAGCAATAGATTTCAGTTTCGCACGTATGTCTATAAGGGTTTGAACAGATCTGTTGCAAGAACTATATTGTTCAAACAGTTCTTTAGGAGGAACTATACTGTTACCTTGGCTCTCTTCTTTTTTTTCGATTTTTGCTGAAAACTAATGGATTCAACCATTCCCTCCAGGACAAATCTTTTTATTTGCAATAAAACACTCATTCTCTTTTTACAGTAGCTTCTGATCCGATTTTGCTGACAAAAAAAGTTATATATTCGCTTTCATGAAATTGTCGTATATCTTACTTCGTTTTTCATCGACATGATCATTATTATTCCCATGTCCAACTATACCATATTCACATAATCCATTACTGCTATATCATTGTTCATTCCCAATGAAGTCGAAGAAGTCATTTTGATCGAATCAGGATAATATTCAAAATAATGATTACAAAGAGGTATCGAATCGAGATGAATTTTATAATTTGAATGTGTATGAATATCTTCTTGCATGATCTGCTCACAAGTAACAAATCAAGAATTGATTTCTACCCGGAACAGTGTTCGAAACAGGGATGAGCGAGCCGCGGTGTAAAACCGCCCCGTCCCGCCCCGCCCCGCCGGCGGGGCGGTGCTAAAACTTGACGGGGCGGGGCGGTGACGGTGCATGACGAAATTTCGCGGTTTCCCCGCCTTTGTATAACCTTGATTTTTTAAATATACTCAGACCTTTAGAGACATCTTTTTAAAATTTTAAAATCTTTTCACAAAACTAATCAGTAAAAAAAGACTTGTTAGCGCAGCTCCAGAGGAGCTAAAATGTGGAACTCACATATATTTTTTTAATTTTTTGTCCTGATGCCTTATTTTTAAATTGTAAAATACCTTTTTTCCGAATACGTATGAAATCATTGATATATTATATAAAAACTAGAGCTTTTATGCGCTGCTGAGGTCTGTAATGGTGGTGGTCAGGGTTACCAGATCGAAAATTAAAAAATCAGAAAAATTTTTCTAAAAATTGGGAAAGTCGGAATTTTTGTTCTCGAAATCGGAAGAAAATCAGAAAGGATTTTTCCATGCTTAAATAACTAGTCTATATATTTTCGATAGCTTCAATATCCTTTATCTTGCTTCTGTTCATCTTTTCGAAGCAATATCAGAAATGATATTTCATAAAGAATGAAAGAAAATATCGATTACACAATTTACTCATGATTGAGAAATCTACATAAGTAATTTGAACAGGATCACACTATTTTTATCAAAAATGCTATAACCAACTTGACGAAACAATAGAATCAGTATTGTAAATTCATACACACACATGCATTTCACAAAACTTATGCAAAACAAAACTAAGACTTATTCTGTATAATGTTCGTTTTTGTTCATACTTTTTTATTAGCTCGAATACTCTTCAAAATATCAGGTTGAGGTAACAGATATTCATAAAAATGTCCACAAGTATAAACAGAATTCATTCCGATTTTCACTTCTGCAACAGCTAAATTAGTACCCATACGATTATGATTAGTTTTATGATATCTGTGATGAAACAAAAAAAGCTCAGAAACGAAAATATTCTTAATTAACACTATAGTAAACGAACAGAGAAAGTTAGTTCATCGTGATAGAAAGCTGGATCTTAATCGTCTGTAAAACGTCATAGTTTTATTGGAGGATATGCTTTCAAATCACTGCAGTGTGGTTTGTTGAGTTCATGAGGCTTCACTACCCGATAACTATGGTGAAATAGATCGCTATATATGTGTGGTGTCGTGTCATGGCTAAACTATTCTAGAATGTCCTAAGAACTTGAATTCCCAAATAAGACTTCGAAAACCGGAGAAAAATTAGGAAATCTGAAGGCGATCGGAAAAATATGTTAAAATCGGAAAAATCGGAACGTCGGAAAGTCGTTGGAGAAACTTTTAAAAAATCGCAATTTTTCCTGCCGTATCGAAAGATCTGGCAACCCTGAGTGGAGTGTCTGTAATGGAGTGGGGGAAAGTGGGGGAAGGGAGAGAGCCGCTAAACCTCGAACTTAAAACTTACAATCACTATTTTATTCGAAAATATACGTGAGTTCCACAAAATGAGTGACTGTATTATAATTGCCTTTCATTTTCATATATTTATTTTTTTCTATTTCGGAACGATGTTTATGCATTTAAAATATGCCTCTTCATCTCATGAAATGAAATAGCCATTATGAAAATTTAATGAAAAATTTGTCAATAAATAGTTTTTTAAAACATATTTTTGACGGGGCGGGGCGGGGCGGTGGCGGTTTCAATGCTAAACAGGCGGGGCGGTGACGGTGCGGAACTTTATCGGCGGTGCGGGACGGGGCGGTGGCGGTGCGACTTTTTTGCTGACTCGCTCATCTCTGGTTCGAAATGAAGCAATAATTCTCTCGGTATGATCAGCACTATTCCTGACATATATCCGTGTGTAAAACGAAAATGCGAATTGATTTAACAAAGACAAGTTTGTTTGTATCAATTGTTCCCATTCAAAATAGATTTTATCTAACGTACCAATCAATTGGAGATGCGTCAGTGATGGTGTATTAGAAAGAAGTGTTTCAATCTTACTCATATTCAAGCCAATATCTTCCATTATTAGAGAACTTAATTGATATATTGGTACAGGACCGAAAGGTACGCCCAAACCAATGGACTCGAAGTCGTTCATGTTGCAATATTTGATAAATAATGTTCGTAAAGAAGAAAAATGATTGGAAAATACTTCACATTACAATGATATACAGTCAGATGTTGTATTATCAATGAAATTCGCCATTTTATTTGATCCGTTTCATCTTTTTTCATTATGAAGGTCAAATTCTGAAGTCCAGGACGTTCTATGATTCTGGAGAGATGATCATCGATTATACTCGAAAGATAAGCATACTCTCTCTCTTGGATTGATAGAAAGGTGAGTGAAAAATTAATAGCATGCTTCAATATAAACTTCAGATGTTGATCTTTCATACGAAGAAGTGTTAACGAACCCAGTCGAGTAAATCGTTCGATAGAAATGAGTGCAAGAAACAAGAAAATTTGACATGGTGTAGTAGGTTTATCAGAAGGTGTGAGTGAAACGACATTTTCTAGTGGGTGTGGGTTTGGATATGGATGGAACCTTCTCTTCTGCAACACCCGCATCCATCCGCATCCACACCCTTCTTGAAGCTCAAATAACACAACAAACACCATAATTACTCATGTCTATTTTTGTTCTTTTCTTTTTCTGGCATGCATGTACTTTGCCACGTGTGCCTCTCGATTGCACCCTTTCTTTTTCTCGATAATTTGTCTTCGTGTTTTTTTTGTGTACGCTTGGTATTTTCCAACTTAATATTATATATAAATAAACCGTTATTTTTCTGTATTTTGGCTTGGAAATAAACTGTTTATACATAGCAACATATTACGAACTTAACAGGTTATAATTTACACGACTATCTGAAATTTTGCGAAAATGGCGTTACAAATATCTACTAAGCAAGACAGTATATTCAGTCATTTTAATGGAGTTACATTACCGACAGGTAAAAATCAAGATGATGTCAGCAATGATATTTTAAGTAAATATGGCACAATGATAGCCGATATAGGCTATACTTACCATACCACTGTTAGTATTAGTCGGTTTTGGTTGAATGGATTCGTATTACGTGAAAAATTACATCAAAGTTTGACTGAAGCATTAAATAAAGTTAAACAAAACAATTGTGAATCCAAAATACGTTGGCAACAACATCAAAATCTTCAAGAAGAAATTAAAATAAATTGTACTAACTATTTAGCTTATTTTCAATCAGAATATGCATCAGATTGTCATTACGAAATACAAAAACTTTCAGAGCAATGCTTTGGTGACAACTGTGATGAAGTTGATATAAAAAAAATAAATGAATTAATGAAACAAATGGATACAGAAATGATAAAACAATTTGAAAATTCATTATGGCAACAAGTTTATGGTGCAATATATTCATTAATAGCAATGGGTTTCACGTTACGAAAAACATGTAGTCAAATTAAGTTAAGTAAAACGTATCGTGAATCTGACAAATTACGATTATCAATTAAAAAAGTTGAAGAATATATTGAGGAATCAGAATCATATATAAAATCTTATGCTATACCAACTAATAAATTAAGTGATTTAGTTCAAACTAAAGAATCGTATTCTTCTGCATGGCAAAACTTGAAATATGGCAGAATATCAATCAATTTTGCAAAAAGAGAGTTAGATATGATTCTATTAGAAATCGATGCACATTCACAATCTATAGAACAAAGTAGAGATAATCATATTGGCGGTACTATAAATAATGTAATAAGATTAATTGGAAATGGTATTCAATTTATGCAAACACCAACAGCTATATTAACATCAACAGCTCTTATGTTATATGGTACTATAACAGGAATGGAAATAACAACAATTGCGGGTCATACATTAGGGATATATTGGTCACAAGAAGAAATAAATAAATTAAATGAATTAAAGGATGAAATAAATAAATTACAAGAAAACATAAATAATATATTTTCAATCATAGAACTTATTGAAGAAAAACTGACACACCTTCGAGCAGAAGAAAAAATAAATTGAAATCGCATTTAAGAAGAATTCATCTCAAATAACGAGCTACTGTAAAACTGAAATTTAATTTAATTTTGTCTATGAATTATATTCGCTATTATTAATCATGCATTAACTGTATTTCCTTCAATTTAATAAAAAAATATATACGTATAAGATTGGTTTCAGAAGAAAATCGCGGAAAAACTTGGTCAAGAAAAGTGAGCTCCACACGAAAACTCCAAATTTGGAGCTCACTTTTCTCCTCCATTCTTGTTATGATTTATACTACGACATCGAATACTGGTAGCATTATCTTGGATGCAAGAGGTAACTCCAAGTATGCTAGAGGTATGTCCAGGGATGCTAGAGGTATCTCCAGGTATGCTAGACGTATCACCTGGAATGCTAGGGGCATCACCTAGAATGCTTGAGGCATCACCTGGGATGTTTGGGACATCACCTGAGATGCTAGGGGCAACACAAGGGATGCTCGTGGCATCACCTAGAACGCTTGGAGCATCGTCTGGGATGCTAGGGTCATCACCCTGGACGCTACGGGCATCACCCTGGACGCTAGAGGCATCACCCTGGACGCTAGGGGCATCACCCTGGACGCTAGGGGCATCAGTCTGGACGCTAGGGGCAACCCCAGGGATGATTGGAAAATCACCTGGAATGCTTGTGGCAACACCTGGGATGCTCGGAGTATCACCTGGAATGCTAGGAGAATCACCTGGGATGCTTGGGACATCACCTGGGTAGCCGTGGGAAGGAACCGTTATCAGTTACCGGGGAAAGGGAGCAATGGTCCTACTCTTCAGGTACTGCAGGGTCCTCAAGAGATACTCTACGGGGGTACCCTTGGGTCCTCAAGGGCTATGTATGGGTCTTGGTCGCTTCTATCACTGAGAAATAGAACCTTGCAATTCCATTGGTCGAAAAATGGGCCAATTAGATTTCAGGAGGCTTTTTCTTTCTTATTATTCGGACAACCACTGGACTTGTTCGGACGGATCCTAGGGTTATCGAGGATTCTCTATCGAATGAGGGGTACACGTGTGGGTCTCCGTAGCTGCTATCACTGAGAAATAGAACCTTGTGATCCCATTGGTCGAAAAATGGACCAATCAGATATCAGGAGACCTTTTCTTGGTTATTATCCGGACAACCACTAGACATGTTCGGGCGGATCCTAGGGTTATCGACGATTCTCTATCGAATGAGGGGTATATGTATGGGGCTCCGTCGCTTCTATCACTGAGAAATAGAAACCCAAAATCTTATTGGTTCCTTGTTGAACATGCAGATTTCTGATTGCTTCTTCGGTATTATCTCGGAAATTAATGATATAGCAGCATCCAAGAACCCCACGGTACGCCCCTAAGAGAGTTGATGGCGACTTATGGGTACTCCTATAGGATAGCCCCTGGCGACGTAGGGGTACCCCCTAGGATAGCCGGTGAAAACTTATGGGTAGTCAGCTAGGATAGCTCATCACGACTTATTGGTATCCCCTTGGAGAGCCCAAGAGGGCCTACGGTACCGCTATGGGATAGCCCATGGCGACTTATGGGTACGCCATAGGATAGCCCATAAGGACTTCTGGGACCGCTATAGTAGGCCTTGTGGGCACAAGGGTAGCCCCCTATAGAATGCCTGGAGGACCCAAGGGTACCCCGCTAGAGTAGGCCTTGAGGGCCCAAGGGTTTGCGCTATAGTCGTCCTTGAGGACCCAAGGGTATGCCCTAGAGTAGACCTTGAGGACCCAAGGGTACCTCAAGAGTAGGACCGGTACCCCTTTCCCCGGTAACTGGTAACGGTTAGTTCACACGGCTAGCCAGGTGATGCCTCTAGCATCCCAGGTTATGCCCCACGCGCCCCAGGTGATGCCCCAAGCATCCCAGATGATGCCCCAAGCATCCCAGGTGATGCCGCAAGCATCCCAGGTGATGCCCCAAGCATCCCAGGTGATGCCCCAAGCATCCCAGATGATGTCCCAAGCATCCCAGGTGATGCCGCAAGCATCCCAGGTGATGCTCCAAGCGTACCAGGTGATGCCACAAGCATCCCAGGTGATGCGCCAAGCATTACAGGAGATACTACTAGCATCCTGGAAAATTGTGATTAGCATCCCAGAAAATGCTACGAGCATTCTAGGCGGTGCTATGAATTATGGCAGAGGGGTTGAGAAGGAAGGTGAGCGCCAAACTGCGTAAACTTCAAATTTGGAGCTGACTTTTCTTGACCGAAGAAAAGTCAGCTCCAAATCTGGAGTTTACGCAGTTTGGAGCTCACTTTTCTTGACCCCTAAAAAGTGAGAACAGGTTCGAACGAAAAGTTATCCTGTAACATGAACAAGGTTCAACACAAATTTTTATTTATAAGTTTATCTAATCTGATTGTTATTTTATGTGGAATGTATATTAAAGATAGGAAAAAAACAATTGATTATACAATGCAATTGAGATATGCATACATCAAAAACAGAGAAAGATATTCTATATCTGCAAATGGATACAACGGTAAGCAAATGAGAAAAATTATTGCAAGTAAACATACATAATATATCTATATTAAACATTGCCTTCTACAGTCATAATTAAAGGATTAACATATTCAAAACCTTCAAATTCTGATTGTTGAATACGAGCTAAAACTTGTTCGTCTTCAGGTGTTAAAATAACATCTTCATTTGTAAATTGTGGATCAAAATGTGATAGATCTGTATCTTCTGTTAATATTGGCTTATATGGTGGAATAATTTGTTTGGATTCTAAACGTTGCCAATCAATAGCTGGATGAAAAAACGGATGTAAACATATATCTTGAAAGCCAGCTCTACAACCTAATATTGGATCATAACGACAACCTAAACGATGAGATGGATCTTTATTAAGAAAACCATCAAGAACATTTTTTGCTCTAACAGTTAATGAACGTGGAATACGTATTGGTTGTTCAAGAATAACTTGAAATAGACGATCTTCAGTATTTAAATCAGGATTTTCAGCTGAACCAACTATTTCAAATGGTGAACGCCCAGCCATCATTTCAAACATAAGTACACCTAGAAAGCAAACAAACAAAGAATTAATTAAAAAACATATAGTTAAATTAAAGTATTTTTCTTACCTAATGCCCACCAATCCACACTAAAATTATAATCATCATTACGTAACATTTCTGGTGCTAAATAATTTGGTGTACCACAAAATGTACTTGTTCGTTCGCTACGTTTAAAATCTACGCCTTCTTTACACATTCCATAATCAGTTAATTTAATATGACCATCAGCATCAAGTAAAACATTATCTAATTTTAAATCACGATAAATAATACCGTGTTCATGCAAAAAATGTAAGGCAATTGTTATTTCTGCTGCATAAAATCTAAAAAGACAAAAAAAAAATAATTTTTCATAGAATTTTTATTTATTTTTTCTAACCTAGCACTTGATTCAGGAAGTTTTCTTTGTCGTTGCATATGATACATTAAATCACCACCAGTAACGAATTCAATAACAAAAAAAAGTCTCGATGCTGTTTGAAAACATGAATGTAAACCAACCAAAAATGGATGATTCGTTGCTTTTTCAAAAACATTTTTTTCACATTGAATCCAATCAATATCTTCATCATCATTAACAATTGATTTTTTTATTACTTTCATTGCATAAAGGCGTCCTGTTTGATTATTATTCTGATTATTACGTAAATACCGAGGACGATATTCTGCTAAGAATACTTTTGCATATGAACCACGTCCAATAACTTTAAGTAATTCAAAATCTTGTAAACTTATGTTTGGAGAAGTAGATGAAGAATTTTGTATATCATTATCTGCATCGATCAAATGACTATTAACACCACTGGGATCATCAATAGAATTATGATCAAGATCTGTAAGACCTAAACATATCATTTAATAAATTATAATTGAAATCTTATAATAGTATTTACAATAACCAAATGACTAAAATTTAATGATAGAAAATCAAATGTACTTACGTATAATACATTTTTATATTTAATTTACACTGAAGAGGAAATCGATTGGATAACAAAGTATGAATAAGTAATAAACTCATTTTTCTTAGTAATATCTGTAAGTACGTCATAAAAGTCTAGGATATTTTGAGAATTAAAAAAATCTATAGATGTCTGAAAACAGCTACTAACTAGATTAGATAATCATGAAATTTTATGTCAGATTACGTGTGTGTCAACGCCAAAAGTTTTAGTTTTTAGTTTCGGTTTTCCATCTTGAATTAGAATACTGATTAGTATTATGAAGTTATTTAATTTGATTAGCAAGCTTTGCAATAATAGCAATGACAAAAACAAGTTATCATTGCGCCCTCAGTAACTTAGAGCTAGAGAGAACGATTTTTTAAAGCCTCTTAATTAACATGCATCTTATTTAGTTTTAATCAATAATAAATATTTATAAAAACAAGCAATAGGTTGAACCGTACATCTTAACATATAAACAGTGTTCTCTTCGATGAGATATGTTTCCTATCGAGTATTAGAAAAACAATCAATCTTTTTTGCAAAGAAGTTCATAAAAGATTCTTTCTGAACATTTCGATTTGCTTTCAAAAGTAAGAAGTCATTCCTTCGATTCTTATCTTTTTAAGAACATTTGTAAATATATTAGATATCGTCATAACAATAAGCACTTCAGTGATGTTTGCATGTGTAATCGACACTCACTTAGGTGAAGAGACTTCAGTCTTCTTACCCAGTGATCTTTTCAGTGGGCCAGGCTCAGAAGTTTTTGAGATTTTTTGTTTTGACATAGAATCTCGAGAATTGATAATACTAATACCGTATGATCCATGTCGATCAATTTGTTCATTATCTCCATTTTGTTGTCCATTCAATTTACTATTAATAGATGTATGTCGTTCATTTGAATCGATAAATTTTGAATGTTGTGGTGATGTTGTACCGCAAACTATTCGTAATTGTTTTACACATCGTTTATGAACAAGAACCTTGTTTTAAAAAGAAAAGCAACAAGTGATTTTTGTCTAATTTGAAAATTTTTTTTTTTTATTGGTTTTTTAACTTACTCGACAATCAAGACATTTATAACCTTGTCTACCTAAACCCCATAAACGATCATTACAAACAGTACATACAGCTGTTGTACTAAATCGTTTAGCTTGATAACGATGTCCATTTATTAAATAAAGTTTTCTCCAACGACGTGCACCACGTCGATATATGAGTGGATCTTCACCTGGACATAAAAGTCCCGGTTGTTCAGGTCGATTTGGAAAAACATGTAGATGTAATTCTTTATTAGAATTTTTGTTATATAAACGTATAGCTGTATTTAATTCTCTTTGTGATGACATTGTTATAGCATCTAAAGATTCATCAAGCCATTTAATAGTAAATGTTGGGGGATTCGTTAATGTTAAATGACATATAGAAGATAAATGATTATACAATGATTCTAATGTTAAACTATATGGTAAATGAATAACAGTTGCTTCTTGTTGATAATGTATCAAAAATTTAACTGTTGTTAAATCATGATTATTATTTTCTTCATTTACCATTGAAGTAACAAATGTTGTCATCACATTTAATTATTGGAATGTGTATCTAGAAATATAGTGAATATTTCATGTATCTTTTTTTCTCTTAAGATAATTTGAAAATAGAATGTATCTGTACAATAAATACATATTCATACGAGAATCAAGCATAAAACACACATGTAGAGAATTATTCATGAACAATACGTGAAGTGAAATTAGGATGAAGAGGTTTAATGGTTGATGATTTACGTGATAAACCAACACGAAACACATGCTGTGATGGAATATTTATCTTACTAGTTGGAAAACCTAATGGAACCGACGATCGTTTCTTTGAAGGATCTGATGTTTCAACTGAAAATAAAATTAAAATAAAATATCGAAGAATTTGAAATACTTATTTACTTGAAAGATTTCGATGCTCAATTGCTGATTTATTAAGAACCATTGAAGATATTGTTGGCACTTCTAAAACAGATAAAAAATTGAATTCAATCTGTGAGATTTTATTATAGTTCCCAGCATGAGAGAACTGTAGATCCATGATTCCATAGATCTAAATTCAGCTCTCAAATTGGTCAACTTTAGATCTGAAAAGACTTAGAACTCTCTACTTTGCATTTATCTCAAAGTAAAATTAAGATTATTTAGATGGAAGTCTAGATAAAGCATTAATGTTAGAACATAAAAATCAGCATAAGCTTACCAGTCTTCTTGATTGTTTCTTCTGTTTTGCATATTGATATTTTACTAGGCGTTTCATCTTCTTCATCAAATTCCTCTTCATGCTCATTCTTAGATTCATTTTCATAGACATCATCTACTATAATTATATTTATAAATATGCAACATAAGAATAATAATTTACCTTCTTCATGTTTCATTCGTTTAGTTTTTGGTGACAAATCGTCATCTTGATCATCAATCGTAGTGAGGTTTTCTGATGACGTTTTAGTATCTCAAAAAAAATCTATTAATAACCTACAGCCTGAAAATCGTAGCAGGAAATAGTCACTTATTTTTCAGCCACTAAAATACAATCATTGAAAGTTAGTTAGAATGAAAATTTTTTTCTCAGGTGAACTTGAACAACTATCATCAGATTGTTTTAAAATAAGAGTTGTACAGAAGATAATCTTTTTTTTTCTAATTTTGTAATTCGATTGAAATCTATCAAATTCAAAAAGTGGAACAGTTTTTAATAGTTCACTTTTGCTTTCTCTACAAAGCCTACTATTTACTTTTGCATAACAAAGTTTAATATTTTTGTATTTTTAAAAGCAGTTTTTGAAACAACCATTGCTGATTTCCCTAGAAACCAGCTCTTTACTGGAAAGAGATTTCACTTTTTCTAATATTTCATTTTTTATAGACTTCAATGCTTTACAAACATACTGAATTGAAGAAACTACGTAAACTAAGGACTACAGCAAAAATTCACTATTTTGCTCTGTACAGAAACAATTTCGAATTTTTTCATAAAACTTTCTAATAGTTATTCAATCTTAATCGACAAAGAAAATCTCAACATATATGCAGAAAGAGCGAAATATTCTGATTCTAATTATTTCATATCAGTCATCGTTTAGTGGTTGAAAAATGAGCAAAAATTTTGTCCCCAGACTTTGACGCTAAAGTGTATCACTTATTAGCTCATCTTACCATTACTGAATATTGTTGATTGACTATTTGTGTTTTCTTTATCATCTATAATGATTGGATTTTCGATTGGTACTTTTTCAGGTGACTTTTTTGGTTGTTGAGGTATCATGTTAACTTCTTCTTGTTCAGATTTACATAATCTAAAAAACCTTAGAGTCATGACAGAATAAGAAAGAGAAATATCAACTAACTTTTCATCATGTTTTTGTGGTTGTTGTTTACTAATAGATTTCGATTCTGTCGAAGTATGATTCGATTTAATTTTACGATTTTTTTTACTGTTATCAATAACGGTAATAAAGTCTGAATAAAAATCAGTAATATATAAACATAGATAACAACAAAAACGAAAGATTTACCATCATCATCGTCATCTTGTTCGTTATAGGACACGACCTTTGTTGTACTAAATTCAACCAAACAGATTCAAAATAAAAGTTAAACAAAAATGAATTAACTCACCGTTTTCCAACAGGCATAATTATACTTAAGTTTCTAAAAATAAATGAATAAAATCAAAAGATGTTTATAATCCAAATTCTGGTAAATATTGCACAACTCCTTCTCCATCATTCAGCGAAAATGTTTCAGGTTTTAATTCAAGTGCCATAAAACAATCATCATTATCCAGAGGAAATGGAGCTCGAATGTTATACTTTCTAGCAGGTACAAAACCAAAACGTGGATAATAATGCTCATGACCAAGAACAATGATCGATGAGAAACCTTGTAATTTTAGTTCACTTAATCCATATCCAATTAATTTACTACCAATTCCTTGTCTTTGATATTCACTCAAAATTGAAATAGGTGCAAGTGCAAGACTCGAAATCGATTTCGACGACAATGAGTAATTGATTTTAATAGGTGTGAATAAAAGATGTCCAACAATTTTCTTATCAACTAATGCAACAAACGAAAGATTTGAATTAAATTGACTGTTTTTTCGAAGTTTTTCAACAAGTTGTGCTTCATCATCACGTTGAAAACTATTCTGATGTATGCGAAATACGTCATCTTTATCAGAATCTTGTTCTCGACGAATTTCTAACATTGTTTTTATCTGAAATGAATTATATTCAGTGATGTGATTAGATTGTAATAAGTTGAAAAAAATAACGAAAATATGCATTTGACAAGCAAAAGAAAGATTCATAAGTTTAAACCTTAATACATTAAATATTCCTTTGCTTAGGTTTTTTTATTAAAATACTTAAGAATGAAATAAATAGATAAATAGGGGTATTCGTTGTCATTTATTAATATCCACCAGTACGCATATGTTGATTGGAATATAAATAACTTGTTGATTGAGACATTTGCATTAATTCATGAAATTTCTCAGCTGTTATTTTCAATTCGTGGGCTCGTTTTCGATCTTCAATGAAACGACGTTCAAAGTCTGTGACTTCTTCTTCAGTTTTTTCACCATAAAAAAAATCTTCAGCAGTTTCCTAAAATTACGACGATAAAAAATACATTAATTTTGGAATAACTATTGATGAAAATAAGATAGAGCAGAGCGCTATGAATTTCACCATTGAAATGAGGAGATGGAGTCGCATCGAATCGTATATTATAGATTTTCCTAAGGTACTTTCTGAAGTGTTTTTGATTAAATTTTTACACAGAAGTATCAGGAAAATGTTTATTTTTAACAAGAAAAGAAGCATTTCTTCAATTTAATGACAACGCTCATTCACACATAAGATTCAATGAAGTGCCAAGAGCATGAATAATAATTGTATGAATATTACTCAAATGAAACAGTGTTAACTGTTAATTACAATTACTAATGAAGGTTACAAATAATAATTATAATTATCTGACTAGTTAAAATAAATCAATGATTAATTTAACTGCGTAAAGTTCCTCTTAATGGAAGATAATATTCATGAATAAAGAGTACTATAGCATACATCATGCTGTTACAATTGTATGAGTAATTTGATGTATCCCTCATGTCGTTTTTACAAGCATTAGAATCGGCTAATCTTATTAAACTCATAATCACTATGATGATAAACTTTTCTCCATATTCTGAAAATTTACTTGAAATCAATCAGGCCATCTATCAAGGATGTCCAAGGTAGGAGAGGATTCAAACATATATGAATGAATGTCTGGACATATATTATGACTTTTTTGTCATTTTTTTCACGAAGTTGTCAAATTAATTTCGATCAGTTTTTACAAAAGATCAACTTCTCTGAATTTGAAGACATATCATCTACGAATATTAAAAGTACATCAGTCGTTTATCACAAAACAGTATATTTGTGCAAATAGGCTCTTTCCAGAAAACAACATAGATAAGTACAGCCGTTTTGGACTAAAATGAAGAACCCACATATGCTCTTTAGCCTCATTATTTTAATACAAAATAAGTTAAATACTAAATCACAGTTCTCTTTCAAGAATAATCGTTTACTGGAGGAAATATATGCCCTATTCATTTCTGCATTTCGAAAAGTATTTTTTCTATTTTTACTGATGCTCTGTTTTTTGTTGACTTTCTCGCTATTCGCTCGCTGTTTTTCATTTTTGTAATCTGTTTCTTTTTACAGAAAATCTCAATGCATTAATATATTTCTCAATAAGCTCAGAAACACTAATATTTAATTTCATAACTCGCTCAGTTCAAGTTTTTAATATTGATCACATGAAGCATGTATCAAATCAATACATCAATACCCATCATCTTTGACATCTTCAATATACATGTTTACTCGCGCAAAAATCAAAATATGTACGGTTCAGAACATATATAAGCGTTCTTGGGATTCAAATTTCGAGTAAGACTTTAGAATAACTGAGAACCATTCAAGTGTTGTTGTTGTTGATATTGTTTAGTGCCTCTTTCCTTTGCTAAAGAGTTTCAGCAAAGGAGTTTTGAATTGATAGTCCTCAGCTACTACAAAAACGCAGTCTATAATCTTTGGTGTGTTCTTGTCGGTAAGGGTATGAAAACATGCGAGTTTACTCTAGGAGCTCTTCATGGATGAACTCAATACTAGTTCGTTTTCCAAACTTCATTTATGTTGCATTAGTTCCCTTGTTTAATTATCGGAAATGTTAGATGGAAAATATTCTTTGACATGTCAATTGTTAAATCATAGCTGAGATGTTTCAAAATGAATAAAAGATTAAAATAGATGACGAAAAAAATGTTTGAATAAAAACATTTAATCGCTCTTAATATAAACCAGACTCTGATAAAACCACTTCATGTCGAGCTATTAATTTCTCGACGAAAAAAAATATACACTTTTGTTCAAAGTTCTCTTTATGTTTGATAAATAAAAATTCTATTGTAAATTTAATAAGACTATGTCATAGATGATCATTGAAGTTATTTTATGAAAAAGAATGAAATACACAATCTTTATGTTGAATTAGAAGAGAAACTAATATTTCAAATCTCAAGAAGAATTCAACTTTTACATACTTCTGTTTTTCGTTCAAGTTCCGAGGCAGCTGTTTGTAATAGTGCATAAATCATATCTGGATTTGTTTCACCAGTTTGATCATCTATCGTTAAAAATATAATTTCAAATTTACAGAAATAAAAAAAACTAAAGCTTTTAATAAATAATAATACCATAGTCTCCTCGAATACTGTCATATTTTTCTTTTATTTTACGAAGTTCATCATGTAATTGAGCGAGTTTTTGTTTTTCATGAATAAGTATTGGTTCTTGTTCAAGATTACATAAAGCTAAACGTTTTATATTTTCTTTTAAACTTTCTTTAATGGTTTCAATTTGTTGAAGCTAAAACAAAACAAATTGATATTTTCGCAAATATAATTAATTCTTACTTACTTCAGATAGACTTCGTACGAATTTCGTTACTTCATCATCACTATTCATTAGTCTTTTTAAATCTTCAAAACTCATTTGATTAATACGCGAACGTGCTTCATTTAATCCCCCGTCATTATAGTTATAATAACCGTTCATCATTTTATCTTTAAATAATTCGTAGTTGAGAGAAAAAATTCGTTCCTTTCTTACTTTTTCTTTTCTCGTCATAGGTCATGAGTCAGTTAAGTTTATTTTCTAACCAATAAGAATAAAGAGGTCAGTAGTAGACAATAGAAAAAACCATAGAATTTTATTTTTTATATGAAAATATTATTAAATTTGATTTGATTTTTATTTTTGTAATTTGTTTTACATAAAATTTTTATTGTTTCGTATCCATGACATTCTACTCAAGAATGAATTCCCATCATTGGTTTGTTAAAGACCTAGAAATATATTTTTTGTTTGTTCAATGCCTCGAACGACATCAGCAAATCATAGTAATGGTCATTCTGGACCAGCAACAACAAAATCAACAAAAAAAGTAACTATTAAAAATGGTTCAGGAATACCAACAATTGAAGAACGACTTGGTTGGTTGAATAATTGAACTGTTTTGTTTTATTATATAATTGTTTTTTATTTATTTTTTCTCTCAAGGATATTTACGTCCATCACGAGAATTATTAGAATTTTATCGTCGAAAAATTGCTCAATATGACAATGAACGCGATGATATTCTTCAAAAACTTGATCGATACAAAGTTGCTTATGAAGAAAAGGTTTTTATATTTTTTTTCCTCATTTTACAGATGTTTATCAATATAGAAAATTGTATCGAATCTAATCGATAATAGTTATTGATAAGTAATTGAATTTGGAGTGAAGTTGCAACGAAACAGAATCGAATTTTGTAGCATTTGAGAAGTTCGATTTTCTTAAATTATAGTTTACAAATCCAATTAAACGAGAGACAAGGTGAGTGTCTCTTCCATTCAAAATACTTTTCGACATTTATCAGCAAAACGCACCATCACAGGAGAGCATTTTTAAGAAAAAACCTTTTTGACAAAAAATGCCTGATAGCATTGTTACCCTCATTTTTTCGAAAAAATGTTCTTCTTCTAAATTGTTCTGTGTTGTGTATCAATCTATGCAGTTTATTGAGCTGATTTTGAATATGCTATTTGTCTCGATTAAATATTTTTAAAAAGCCAGAAAAACTTAGGTTTTACTGGAAAACCACTATGCAGTCGAGAGATGTTTGCGTTCTTAGGGATAAGAAACAGTGGATAGAATAACATTCTAGAAGAATTTGGAGACTGAATTTAGGTAGATTGTTCATATTTTGGGGTTAGCCGTTCGGACGGCACTAAAAACAATATTATTTATTTTTTTAGAAGTTAAACGTGCAAAATAATTAATATTTTTTATCATTGTCTATATAACTCGGCTTGAAGATTTAGAAAATTCACTTAATTGTCTGTGAAGCAGTGTCATTTGGTCAAATATACATTGAGTCGGGGACATCGCGATTTTCAGACTAATTTTTGAGCAACTAGTTTTCAGTTTCTTTGACAGTTGTTTTATTTTTTAGCCAAATATCCTCCTAGATGAACACTATGTCCACTTTTCGATGGAATTCATTCCTATGGTCAAGTGGTTGATATTTC